TAAAAATAAAACATCTCCCTTTCATAACAAAATCAGGTGGCATGTTTTGACAGAAATGGAGCCAAAGGGGAAGGGGGAGGCAGTAAAGTACAAAAGAGATATCATTGTGATCAAAGAACTTGCAAAGTTCATAAAAGAACAAAAGCAAGTATTTAGAACAAAAACTTTAATCTGTGGCATTAAACGAAACCTACAGTGATGAAAATCCCAGAATGCTGTGGGCCAACTGGAAAAGAAAACAAAATGAAAAATGGAGGGATGGGTAAGTGTTCTACTTCGTTTTGGAACCCTGACTTGTATGAAGGAGACCAAAATGGCAGCAGTTTTGTTGCAGCTGCACTTAATGAGTGAATTAAAGCCTCTGATATATTGAATGATAGCATTTACCAGTTTAAGACTAAATCTTCACATTCTTACCTCTACTGTATCCCTTGTTTTATTTTGCTTCTCCTTTTTGCTTCTGCTTTTAGGGAAATGTCTTTCAAGATGTGTTCCCTGGTTAAAAAAATGGCCTTTCTGGCATGCAACATTCTAGATCGGGAAATTACCTTTGAGTCAGATGTAGACCTAGGAACAAGCTTTATCTTGTCCATGTTCAAAGAAAAGAGATCTGTCATATTTAAAACCTGAAAATTCTGTATCAACAAAACTGGATTTTAATGCTCTTGACCATCAGAATTCCTTTCATGTCCAGATCAGCTAACCCTAGATTAGAAAGATCACAACATGCCTATAATTTTGTGTTTTCATTTCAGATGCTAGCACAGTCATGTAATGTTATAGATAAATGTTCTCTGAATTTATGAAGAGCAGGATTAACTTTATCAGAAGTTATTGCTTCTATTGGAAGTTATTTTAGCTGAACTATGCATTACAAGCCTATATAATCTTCATTGCACTGAACCTTTGGCAGAAAAAAAGTAATTCTGGGCTGCCTGTCTGTTTTCTGTTGGCTAGCAGACATCTTTGTACGGTGCAAAGGATGTGTTAAAGAGGAACATTATATAACTTTCAAGTCTTCTTGAGGAAATAATATGATGAGAGAAAAGCCTGAGTTATTTCACTCAATCTACAGCAGTGTCCCTCCTCTATTATGGAGAGAGAATGTCGGATAAGTGCCTGAATGGCACAAGTTGGAGCCAGAAAAGAAAAGGGAATTGAACTGAGAAAGGAAATATGATGAAATCCCCGAGAATATCTTTCTATCTCACGGGAGACATGTTATATAGAAACATGCAAAGGAAGTCCTTTAGACCAGTGGCTGGCTGGGGAATTCTGGGAGTTGAAGTCCACACATCTGAAAGTTGCTGAGGTTGAGTAACACCGCTTTAGGTAAAGAAAACAGATAAAATTGCAGAGTCCTTCTGCTAGCTATTGTAACTGTATATCTTCTGCCCCTAGCGGTCAGTACTTTTACAGGTTCAGAAAGCCAGTGCACAGGAAGTTAAATTCCAACACTTTCTTGCCCACTCTAGTTTGTCCCTTTGGATAAAATGGAGGTGGCAAATTACTTTCTTCACCTGCACAAGCAAAGGGGTGCAACAGCAAAACCTTCTTCCTTCTCCCACTGATTCAGGCTAGCAAAGAGGAGGTGCCAGATTGGAACTCAAAGATATTTTAGCCCCAGAAAAGAATAGAAAGAGCAGAAGAGATATGGATCCTCAGTTGCTCAAGATAGGATTGATAGTGTCCTCTGAAGTTTCAGGTTGTGCTTTGTTGTTCACTATCCTGGATAGCCACCTAGTGGCTAAGCTAACTTTTAATAGCTTCCTGCTGAGTCCAACTCAAAAGCTAACTCAAAAAGGAGGACAAAATAGCATCTCATCAATTAAGTGCTCAGAGTGCATGGAGCAGCCATCCAGTGTTTGCTTTTGAACTTACAAAATCCATAGTTCTCTTCTTCCTGCCTTAATGCCCTTGTCTTCATCTGTGATATGCTCTTGCAGAGCTATTGGAAAAGAAGGTAGTGGGCAATAAAATCCAAAGGATTCTATTTTGATTGATGCTGCTATTAGCTTTGCCTCTCCTCCAACTCACTCCCATGTATGAAGCCTCTGTAAAAATTGACACACAAAGGTTTGGGCAAGGGTCTGACAGGTCATGCAATCTGGGCATTCAGATGCAGCTTGAGGACTGCTTTATGAAACCTGATCAGGTTTTTATGAAATCCAATTCAGCAGAACTTGTTACAGCCTGCAACTTTACTGAATGAACTCCTCCTTCCAATCAAATCGCATTGTGACTGGCATTAAGGGATTAGTTTATCCCCCCAGCCACACTTCAGCTGACTTCTTGTTGCTTAGTCAGACCAAATATGGCTCCCTGCTCAGAATCCTTGAGGTGCTGGCTGTGCAGAACCCTTTCTCTAGCCACGAGGCCCCTTTAGTTTTGTTTTCTTCTTCAGGGGAATCAGCAGGTCCATCTGGAACATGAATGGCTATGATCTGCTTCAGGAAACACCAGGTACTGGGTAAAGGACTTAACTTTGATCATTCAGCTTGTTTTGGGATGGAAAAATATTGTTTTCAAACTTTCTTGAAGTTTACCCAAGTGAATCAAGCAAGTGGCTACCTTATGACCTCACTGAAGCCGAGTGGGGGACTAATAAAAGCTTCCTAGGTCTGAACTGTGAAAGTAAAATCCTTTGTTGGTTAACATCTACATTTCACTTTTCAATTAGTCCTACTATGTAACACTTAGATGTACTGTATAACTTTCGGGGGGGGGGGTATGTGGACAGTTTCATCCCAGTGGTTAAGGGTTTTCCCCAAAGCCCCCTCCTCTCATGAAAGGACAGTGGGTTTGAAATACATTCATAACTTTAATTTCTTTGAAGAGGAGTCAAACATAGCACAGTTTTTGTGAGGATAAGCATTATGGGTTTTTCAACTTGATTAGCAGGAAGTTTTGCAGTGCTAGTTTATTGTCTGCTAATTTCTGAGCAAACATTCTCTGAGAAGCCAATATATCACAATAATCGCTTGCTTGACCTTCAGATTCTTCCAGACACTGAAGGTTCCTGGAAATGTGGAGAAGCAACTCTTCATTTTAACTCTGTCCTGCAGAATCTCTCTACCCCATTCATTCCCAAAATAGCTTAGTGTCTTAAAGGTCATAATCTAAGATACAGATTTAATGAAAGGTGCTAAATGCTCAAAAAGGAACATTCTGCAAGGGTTAAAAAAAAAAAAAAAGCTGTTGAGAAGAACCAAACCCTTATGGGATTAGAATCATATATGTCCTATTAGAGTGCATTCCTATGGCAGCTGTTTTGGACCTGTACATCAACATCTGTAGGGCAAATATGTATCAGTATGCACCCAGGCATCTCTAATTTTGAAACATGGTATTAAGGCCTATTACTCCCTCCCCCTCCCCCCATTGATATGATTCCATATCACTTACTGATTCTTGCTATTGAGATGTTTTGCTATATTGCACAATCTCAAATGCAGGAAAAAATCCTAAAGCAGTGTTGTCCAAACTTGGCCACTTGAAGATGAGTGGATTTCAACTCCCAGAATTCCCCAGCCAGCCATGCTGGCTGGGGAATTCTGGGAGTTGAAGTCCACTCATCTTCAAGTGGCCAAGTTTGGACAACACCGCAATAGAGAATATCTCTGTCTTGAGACCCTTTATGAAGGAAATGACACTGCACAATAATACATCCAGGAATCAACTTCTGTTGCTATGGAATGTGAAGATTGGATTCATTGTTAGCATATCCTTCCAATAAGTCAATTTCTGACATTTTGAATAATCACAGGATATAGTCCTATATGGACTATATGCTAAATAACATATGAGAGCTTGCTTAGTTTGAAGTATTCTGGAATGTTTTTTCCTGGGGTGTTAAACTATGTGGAAGAAACATTTTCTTAATGATCTGTAATACAAAAGGGCATCTAAATACATCAGAGAAAAATGCTGAAAACTAAACTTCTACGTGGTATGCTAATATCTGACGTAGAAGAAGACTTATTTCCCACATGGGAGTAGAACATATATAAAACTCTATCAGCTAGTTCAAGTGATTACAACCCCAATTTAGCTATATTGCATGATTATCCTACATATAAATTATTTTTGAGACTGGGAAATCCCTGGATTAGTATTCCCCGATTAATGCCCTTCTGTTGTATTGGACTGTAGCTTCCATTACTCACAACCAGTGTGATATGAGGGGTTATGGAAACTATCGTCTGATGCATCCAGAAGTACCAGATTGTCAACTATAGTTTGTTCTCAGCCTTTTTCTCATAACATTTTGGGATTTCATGGCACAGTCCCATACAAATGACGTTCTCCATTGCAGTTACCTTCATTCAGTTGTAGTTTGGATCTCACCCATGTGACTGCTTGTAATGTAACAAGCATGTAAAACAAAATTTTAACAGTGTAGCAGGCACTAGGGGACATACAGCATCCATCAGATCTATCATACAGAAGTTCCACTGGGCATTTATAATGTTTGCACAAATAGCTGCTTGAAAAAGACAGCTTCTTTATGCATCCACCCTCACGTGCAGAATTCAACTGATAGCAGACCATGGAAAACACTGTTTTCTGAGCATTTGTGAATATGGACAAAAGCAAAATCCTGCATGGCACAATATCACAGCACATGAAGCATTTTCAGGTGTGATTTACATAATTGTTACAATCCCAATGATTATGTGAAGAGCTCCTTGCTCTGATCTAATATCTAGAGTTGCTGACCCTAATCTAAAGTTCCCTTAATGGCAATACCAAAGGCGAAGCTTTAGAAGGTGCAGTTTAGTGAAATTTTCCCAGATGAAAATGTGTAGCATCTGTAGTCACTTCTTTCTGTGCAGACAGGAAAAAGATCTTCAGATCTACCACTGAAGATCTGAATGCATTTTTGGATCATTTTTCCACTTCCTTTTTTTCAAAATACTTCTTGCCTTAACTAACAGTCCTCTTTAAATACAATCTAGGTTCATGCCTCACCAGCTATTCCCCCACCTTAATTAACTTACCCAATATCATCCACCCTCAGCATATTTCCATGATGCCAGCTTTGGGGACACCAGTTCTGAAAGTTAATCATTGTATTGTTTATCAGTTGATGATTGATTTATAAAAGTTCGTGGCTTCAGCATGCCACCACCCATGATATAGTTCGCTGAAATGCTCAGTTAACTTAAATGATGCATTTTATGGTTATAGCATAATTTAATTATTTTATGACAGAACGCTTAAGATGCTTGCTAGGAGAATCAAACAGCAGGGAAAAGCAATATTATTTTGTTTAGATGGTGTTTCATTAAAGCAGGCCTAGCAATTTTTAATGACCTGGGTTTATTGCAAGTTGTTTCAATAGCTGTTCTTTATCTGAGTGAAAGTGAAAAGATCTTAATCTAAACATTTTCTTCTAAACCTTAAACTATGTATTTAAAATAAATAAAATTAAAACATTAATAAAATATGGTTGTATTATTAGAGGAGGGGGCATTCTCAGTGCAATATATAAATATATCCTATCTCTTCTTATTCATTTATATAATGGTTTAAACACACACACCCCTGCTTACTTTGGAACAGGACCAGCAATTTCAGTGAATTCTAAACTGTGCTGTCCTTTTACAATTAACATAGCAGTTAGTAATGTGTCCATCTCAGTTCCTGTCAGATTTGAATGGGAAATAAGCTATTCTCCAGAATTAGAACAGACACAGAAATATGGGGACTTGTGGTCATCCCAATATTGTTGATTTAACTTGTTACAGTCCTAGCTACCATGATCAGTGGTGAAGGATTCTGGGAACATCAGGAAAAATATAGGTTCTCCATTTCTGACATTGTATATAGCTTTGTTGTTACAGAACTATCTGCGTGATATTTTTCTTCTGAAAGTCCTTGAAAGCCTGTCAGAACCTTTTCATTTTCTGGCATAGCCTAACCATATCTGTTCATTTTGGAAAGCCCCTAATTCCTTTTCTCTCCACCCCCCAGTTTCCCAAATTCTTTTTTCTTGTTCATTTACCCCCACTTTATTTAGGCATCCTCTTTGGCATGGATAAAAAATAAAATCGTAATTTAGGCACTCAGTCCTTCTTATCTAGTCTTAGTGATCAATCAGCCTTTATATGTTTCAAAATTGAGGAGGGAAAAAGTTACTTTTAGCTTGAATGCTTGTTAAATTGATTATTAAATATTTTTAAAAGATCAGGAGTTAAAAAAATACAGGTTTCTCTTCTGGACAGTATTTTTTTAAACCCAAAGTTGCAAACTGTAGTGAAAGCCCTGACAGTTAAAGAGGCTTAAATTTGGGTTCAGTTTGAAATGCTTTTGTAACTACTTCAAGAGAAAGTGCCAAAGTAAACTGTAATATCAGTGGCTTTCTTGGTCCCTCTATGACCTTAGTTCTTGATGTGGTTGTACTTGCCCAAATAGAACTGGTATATAATGTGAGGGCCCTCCTAGACTTGCTGAATGAGCAATTGGCAGTTGTGGCCAAGAGAGCTTTTCCATAGATACATCTCATGCACCATTTATGCCCTTTCCTGAATCAGAACTTCATTCTCACAGTCATGCACGCCTTAGACACATCTTGTCTGGACTACAACACAGTCTACATGGGGTTGCTCTTGAAGACCACTTAGAAGGTTCAGATGGTCCAGAATGCAGTGGTCCCAGTAGTTATGAGCACATCTCAGTTTGCCCATGTGACACCTCTACTTCACAAGCTGCAGTGATTACTGGTTGGCTTCCAGGAGTAATTCAAGAGTTTGGTTATCATCTATAAACCCCTTTATGTTCAGGGCTTGGATAGCTACAGGACCCCCCTTCACCAACTGATTCTCTCTGTCCTATAAGATCTGGTAGGGCTGGCTTGCTACAAGTCCCAGTAACAAAATAATGCCATCCTATGGGACTTGGGAGGCATGTCTCTTCTGTTGCTATCTCACCCATTGGAACAGCATTCATCCTCTACCCCCATCCCTGGATATCCCTGACCCAACCCATGCTCTCTTTTAGGAAAGCTTTAAAGCCTGGCTTTTCCAGCAGGGCTTGGGGCAGGATAATTTGCAAAGCTGTGTCAGAGATAGGACATTTTAATTCTTTTTTGTATTTCCCTAAGGTGGTACCTTGGGGTTTTTTGAGGGTATTATTACTGGTTTCTCTTTTGGTTGTTTTTATGATGTGTTTTTAATGTTTGTATTTATGTACCTATAACCAGCACTTTCACCCCAAAAGCTGTCCAGGTGGCTTACTTAATAATAAAAACCAAACATTCCATGCCTTCAGGGGCAGATGGCAGAAGGGAAAGACACAACACAGAAGGAAAAGAGCCTCTGGCAGCAGTTTCATCATTCCCATTATAATCATGTGAGAAAGGGGGGTTATTCAGAGAATCGCAGATGGCACTTCCTTCCCTAGCATTAGTGGCTCTGTTTTTCTTCCTTACAGAGCAGTTGGCCACGATAATTTCTGCAGGGAAGGAGAAGAGTCCTTGGTCCATTTGGTCCTGGCAACATCACATCTTATGGGATAAACAGGAACCTTCTAGAAATAACTGGTCTAGACACCCAAGGCTAGATCAATAGATAGTACTCAGGAGATCAGCACTGGAACAAACAACTGTGTGAGACCGCAGTGACCAGTCATATGATACAAAGGGGGGTGGGGGAGAGAATGGCTAAACATATGAAATCTATGCTCCCTTTTCTAAATTCCTATCTTCACTAAAAACTATTTTGCTGGACCTTTTATTCGTGTACCTGAATGAGGATAGGGATTTTTTAAAAAGTAACTTGGCTGAAGACTTTCCCATTTTGTTTTAATGTACAGACCTCTAAATGTTACACAATAAGGCTGTGCGTGCTTTGAAAACTATCTGAAAAATTTTTTTTGGACCTCACATAAGTGGAAGAAGAGCATTTGTATACTTCTCATTAAGGTAGCCTGAAAAAAAGTTGCTCCTGCTTTAAGGCATCCATTCATTAAAGTGAATTCTATTCTTTTCTTAATAAATAGCAAAAAGATGTTATCCTTGTGTGAGGTTGGAAGCATTTCTTACAAATCATTTTCAAAAAGTGCACAGTCCTATTAGACCAGGAGTTCCTACATTTTTTGCCGTCACAGATCCCTTTACTGTAATCTTAATGTACATACTTCCCCTAAAAATCCAAACACCAAAATGAACACAAATGAACAATGAAAACAATACAATGAAACTTTGGGAAAGGTGGAGTCATTGTAACAATGTACAACTAAAAGGTTCTTCACTCCACCCCTGCACTCTGTCTGCACCTCCCCAAGGGAGGTACACCTCACATTTTAGGAAACCCTGTATTAGACAATATATTATCTGGTTGTTGCAATTTGGTGGTTAAAAGGGGCTTCGAGACAAGGCTTTTTTTGACAATCACCCTGCCTCACTCAAGGACTTTTATAGTAGTGCTCTATGCAGTTCAAAAATATGTTGGAAGAAGAGCTTCTGACCTCACACAAACACAGAACCTCCCTGTTATTCATTAAGGCAGCCACATCTTTTTTCCACCTTCCAGGCGAGCCTTCAAAAAGATGCTACTGTTTTAAGAATTGCATGGAAGCCAAAAACAAGACATAGCTCCTTTAATTAGTGCCAGGAAGGTGCTACACATGTGAAATTTTCAAAGCATGCACAGATGTGTTCTATAGCAATCCAGGTATTGTTCATCCATGTTTTGTACAATCTTCCATTATATTTCTTTCCAAGGAAAATCCATCACAAAGGATAAGACCAAATCACTGTATACTTTTGGATTGGTAGTACAAGGAATTTTTCATCTGAAAGCACCCTGAAAGACTGATTTAAGAATTAAGAAGTCCTTGGTTCAAATTGATTGATTTGATTTGATTTGATTTGATTTGTACGGCCACCCAACTTGCAAAAGCAATTCTTGGTGGCTTATAATTTGATGGAAATGTAAAAAAAGAAAAGCATGAAAAACAAAACACAACAAGCACCTAGAACCCAAAAGACACTAATAGAATAACAAAATAAAGAGAATAACAGAAAAACAAAATAAAAGGATAACAGAATAATTAAAGACCACCATTGTATAGAACATTCAGAAATTATTCATTCTGGACAGGTTCATTTTTCTATCATACATTTGCCAGGTCAGAGGTACACATCTTTTGCTGCATCAAAGGCTGCATTTGGCTTTTGAGTGGCACGCCAATAACTGCACTCCCCAAAATTGTGGGCAAGCCCAAGACAAAAAGAAAAGTTCATTTTATTTCATTTACACCAATTAAAGCCTTAAAAATAGATAATATGATTACTCTTCAGTCATGTATTGAAAAGTTTTCCTGTGTGGTACATGAAAAATTAGTTGGCAATATTTTGAGGTTTCTGGAGATCTTAGACACATGTATTCAAGATGGCCTTCAATCCTTAGCAACTTGTTACCTTTCAGATACAATAGACTGCATCTCCCTTAATCAACAGCATCATGGAGAAAACCAAGCAATTTCATATTATTAATCTTTTCCCTCTTTCCAGAGAAGTGAGAAATTCAGAGTTAGTGCTAAAACATTTATTTTCTTTTGAATGAAAGGGAATGTTGGAGAGTAGGTATATATTTTTGATATGCAAGGATTTTTTTTAAACTCTGAAAGCTGAACTTTCTGAGAACAAAATGGTAAATAGCAAATAGTATAAAGGATTAATTTTGAATCAGAGAGCAATAGCTACTCATTTGTCAAGATATTTCATCCTAGTTAATTCCTGATGAAAATGCTATGCTTGTCTTCCTCTCTGTCCAAAATCAGATTCACTCTAGCTGTTTCTAAATGCGTCCAGATAAAGCTTTGACTGCCAGCAGTTGTCCTTCCTCACTCACACAATTTTATAATTGACTTCCACTTGTTCTGCAAAAAATCTTCAATTTTTGCTTTCTATAGAAACAAGTAAATAAAACTAGTTAATATCTATACAATATATTTTTATTATCATTGCTATGACCCTATTACCTGGAAATATATCCATCTTAAACTCTGAAGGATATTGCATTTCCAAGGTTGGAGTGAAATTTCAGGACAATAAGAATCATCAAATCATAATTTTCACTGAAATGCTTTAGCCATTGTATTTTAGTGCCTCCGGATAGTAATAAGCTAAGGTGAAGCAGTTTAGGCATTTTTTCAAGTCTGTATGGATTTTCCTTGATAAATAAAAGCAAGATATGATGGGAAAAACATAAGAGAGTTACAAATGGAGGATGCTGTAGTCTGGATATCTCTGTAAAGAAAGCAGGGTAAATAAAAAAACTCTGGGAACAACCAGTGGCTTTCCAAAAGGACAGGATTCCTTATATATTAATCATTATGCCATCCCAGAGTAATCACCAATTGCGCCATCAGTAATTCACAGTATATGATGATCAAATTTGGGATGGCAGGGGATGGTTGATGACAGAAAAAATTAACAAGTTTTATTTTTGTATTATTCTTTTATACATTACATCGTTCTATCCATTGCAAGTGGCTGTGTGAATTTCTGTTAAAACTCTTGATGTCCTGCTAATTTATATCCATGTCAAGTTGGTAATATTGGCTGACTGAGAATTTCCCACAAGCTTCAGCCACCTACTAATTTTTGACCCTTAGCACAAAAATCTTGTTGTGGTTAAGATTAAGGAAACCCTAAGACACTTCCCTCCAACCTGGGTACTCTCCAGATGTATGGATGTGGAGCTATCAGAATTCTCTGTCAGCCATACTCCTCCAGATAACCAATAATGAGAGATGGTCCAGACATCTGGAGGACACCCAGATTAGGGAAAGGTGCCATAAGGAGATGCTGGTTGGCAAGTTGTACTATTATCAGAAAGGAATGTGAAGATCGCTGTGCAGTCTTGATAGCTTTGCAGCTTTGTCTTAAACAGCTGCAGAGCACAAATGACATTTATGGGGCCGAGTGAAGCGGTTTTGATTTGTTGGGAGTTTTTTGAACATGAAGAGGAAGGGAAAGGGAAGGTTTTACTTATTGGCTTCCTATTTACCTTGCAGTTTTATTAAAACCATGGGAATGCCATGAGCTTTTTTCCCCTATGGGCATCTTCCCTGAATCTTTTGAAAGGTCTAACACTATGTGTCTATTAGGGAAATTAAAGTTAAAAAAAATCTGACTTCAGATGTTGCTTTGTAAGAAACTCCTAGCTTTGGGGTTTAGTATTTTTTTAAAATGTTAATCCCAAATGCACGAAACATCCTGTGGAAATGTGGGTCTAGTGACCCTTTCCAAGATTTACCCCACTGTTGCTCTATCACCACTGTCACTTGGAAGCCAATTACAAATATTAAACAGCCTGGCTAGCCTCACAGCAACTCCTAGTTGTCATTCAAAGGGCCAGAAAGTAATGAGTTTGCAAGCTCTGTGTGACTGGAGGGCCAGATTCATACACCATTTGCATGCCTGACCCCTTTATGAGCAGCAGTGTGGATGTTCCCTCTGACATCTATTCCTGCTCCTTCCCTCCCCCCACCAAGTTGGCTAGTAACCCATAAATGTTCTGCATCCTTCTGATTCAGCAGAATTCCACAAGGGTGCTTATTAACACATGGGGGAAGGGGAGAATGGCTCTGTAATTGTTAAGACATGAATTTAGGCAAAAGGCAAATGGGATTTGATGGTGTGGAAAGACAATCCCTATTTACTAAGTCTGACAAAATACAAGCTGGGGAGGGAGGGGGTATCATCTCCATTTGGAAATAGCCAAAAAGCAAATATATCCTCGGGTCATGGAAAAGGGGCAGGAACAAAATATTGACTTTAGAGGGGGAGGGGAAAATCATTCTTTAAAAAACACAGACACACTTTAAACTTAGGTGTCTAGGTTCAGTGCAGGATCTTAAAGAGCAAACTGGTTGAAAATTTTGCTTGACAGCTTTTGGTGTCATTTCTTGCTGTGGTGAGCAAGTCATGCAGTAAACTATTCTCTGTTAATTTTTTCATCTGAGATAACCTAGCCAAGAAATGATTAGCACAAAAGTAAGTTTGCCCTAATCTAGAGAGAATCGGAAAGGATGAAGAGTGAGAAAGCTGTACTGGAGTTATCTGTTAACTACATCAAGTGCCTCCAATTGGAAGAGTTCGTTCTTACTATCTCTTTGGCTTTCAGTACCCTGCCCCCTTCACATTGTCTTTCTTTTTTTAATCTTAAGGTATGGCCCAAAATGACTACTTCAAGCACAATAGATGTTTTCATCTTTCTCCTTTGAAATAGAGCTCTGAAGTTACTGCAGGCGTCGGGGATCTTCCTACCTGCTTTGTTACTGGCAATCAGAAGGAATCCTCTTCCCAATGGTCACACAAATAGCCAGAATCCATTCTCTCAAGGTGCAAGAGCAGTTCAGGCCGAGGCGAGCTGATCTACAATCTCCCCAGTAGTTCCAAACATTGAATGTCAGAGCCTGGGAAAAAGCATAACTAAGTTGTCACTTGGAATGGAGTTTGGTCAGTGGTCGGAGATCTATATTCTCAGATAGGTAGGACTTTGTCCACAAACTGGAATTTGAAATTTCAAAGGGGGGGAAAAAGCAGAAGGGATGGTTTGAGAGATGATTGTGCTGGCGTGGATTCCCCTAGGACTTTAGTTCTTAATCTTGTAACTCAGGGCTGTGCCCGAACGGGCTTACCTATCTCATGGCCTGGTGAATGGAACAGTCATAGGCTGCTCCTCCACGCGTACAGTGTTTTGTACACTGAGAATTGCGACAGGACGTGCGCTCATCTCTATGAAAAGAAGAGGAAACCCAAATGATTTTAAAGCAAGGGAGGCCTCACGGTAAGCCATGCCCTTAGGCATAGTGAGGTGGCTGCCAGCAGCAAAGGAGGTGTTGGAAGACAGAGTTGGATGTTCCATAATGCCTGCACCTCTAAATTCATTTGCCACCCTCAGATGCAGTGGGGGATTCTCTGGACTCGCCTTAAAATTACATCAGGATGAGTCAGCTGCTTCAGTTAGCAAACCCGGATGGATGGCAACTACTTCATTTTGCCTAAAGCACACAGCTTTCAAGACCAGCTTTTACTTGTGTAACACAAAGGTTCCTCAGCGTGATGCATGATGAGATTGCTAGACCATCCACCAACTACCTCTCTCTGTGTTGATTTGAGGTTCCCCAGCAGGGAGTTAGTGGGGAACAGGCGAGATCATGGCAGGCTGCTTTGTTGCCATGGGCCAGGAGGTGGAATGAGACAGGAGTTCCTGCCTAAAGAAAACTGTCTGCTCTGCAGTTCTAGAGTAAACACTGAAAATCTGTCTTTGCAGCTTTTCTTCTGAAACAGGAGGTGAGCCAATGGTTAATCATCTCAGCTTCCCAGAACCCATGCAAGTCCCATAAGAGTTGTGGAGAAAGGGACATGTATTATTCTTCCCTCAGTACAGCCCTCGCTTGTACAAGGGGTGCTAATATCTTTTCCTCTCTGAGCACTCTGAGATGTGGAGTTTAGACCTTTAAAGATATTTTTATATTGTATTCTATATCAGAGGATGCAATTGGAATATTCTTTTTTTTTTAAAAAAAGTACAACAAATGTAAAGCCAGGCAAGCTTATCACTTCACACTCTTACCCTTCCCTATAGAAACAGCTCTCCAATTTCATAACCATTTTGTCTTTTAGACATTTTTATCTAGTGCTTTGAAGACTGTGCACTCCTAGTTTTCCAATTTTTCAGGCATATCTTTCCTTCATTTAGAACAAAAGTACAATCAGTTGCAATAACTGGGGAAAGATGTTCTCTTCCATAATGCTGAAGTAGGAAATTGGCTATTGCTACCACGCCATGCATATCTGCACAGAGCTGCCAAAGGGTTACCTGAAAACAAGTATTCTCTAGGACTTTAATTTCAGCCACCAGCAGTACATCTGAGTCATCTTCAGTAGAGGTGAAAGGGTTTATGATTCATTCTCAGTTTCCAAGCATTTAATCCTTCGGTTCCCCTTAAGAAACTCCCTGCCTTACTAGCCTTGTACATGCACCTTTTCATTTCTATTTCTAGTAACTTTAATCCTTTCAGACTTTGTATGAGAGGAAACTATCTTTTTTTTTTTTGGCCTTACCTAGTTAGGAGCTTGTTTGAGTTAAGGCTTGTTTTGCTAAACTGAGCAAAACAAGCTGGGTTTATGATATTATACTAGACACTATAGCAAATCCTGTGCGTGTTTAACTTGATGTCTGTACACATTTATCTAATCATAGGGATCAACCTATCCAAGTTTGGATTGGCATGAAAGATCCCTCAATGGGGTTGTTGTTGAGGCTCTTTCTCTACCTTTCTGACCCTCTTCTATTCCATTGCTTCTTTCTATCAAGCAAATGAATTATTGCCTCAGCAGGCTCCTAGCTGAAGAGGAAATACCAGGATATGTTCTTTCAAGGGGTAACCATGATATGTTGAACAGTCACATTTCAGAAGCCTGCTCCATTTCCTCAGAGAAGCTCAAGTTTGAGATGTGCAAGCTCGTGGTCTTCCTCTCAAGTCAATAGTGGACTATCTAGAACAATTAGATTGACAGCCATTAACATGTCACCCAATATGAGTTCCTGGAGAGCAACAGCAGGGAAAATCTATTGCCTGTTTATGGGCTTCTAGAGGAATGTAGCTCCTGTGAGAAAAAGGGATATTGTAGATTGGGGAATCTCATGGGTTCATACAAAAGATCTACACCAGGAGTAGAGAACTTCTGCCTATCGTTGCTGAATTATAACTTCCAGTATCTCAGCATTGGCCATGCTGGTTTTGCGGCTTGGTGAGAGCTAAAGTTCAGCAACTAGAAGTTTTTCACCACAGATCTAATCTGGGTTATAGTATGCAATGGATGATGATGATGATGATGATGATGATGATGATGATGATGATGATGGTTGATCACACAGTCAGCCAGATATTTAGATTGGATTTGGCATTTCCATTCACCTATCAAGTCCTTCCCAAGGACTTGGGATAGGCAGATGTTGTTTGATAGTGTTAAAGGTATCGTCACAGGATGTAAGCTGTTCCAGTAAAGCTGCCTTTTGCAATTGACTGATGGTGATTTCATCAATGCCAATGGTCTTCAAGTGGCACTCCAGATGTTTTCGGATTGCGCCTAAGGCGCCTATTACTATTGGTACTATCCTTGCTTTCTTTTGCTACAGTCGTTCTATTTCTATTTTGCAGGTCTTTGTATTTTGTGATTTTCTCCAGTTCTTTCTCTTCTATCCTGCTGTCTCCAGGTATTGCAATCTCCACTATCCAGACTTTTTTGTCTTTCTTATCAACAATTGTTAAATCTGGAGTATTATGTGGCAGGTGCTTGTCTGTCTGGATTCTAAAGTTCCAGAGCACTTCAGCTTCTTCATTTTCTATTACTTTGTCTGTTTTGTGGTCCCACCAGTTCTTGCTTGCAGGCAAAGATTCTAAAGTTCCAGAGCACTTCAGCTTCTTCATTTTCTATTACTTTGTCTGTTTTGTGGTCCCACCAGTTCTTGCTTGCAGGCAAATGGTACTTCTTGGAGATATTCCAATGCATCATTGTTGCTACTTTGTCATGCCATTGTTTGTAGTCAGTCTGTATGATCTTCTTATATCAGCTAACTAGGTGGTCCACTGTTTCTTCAGCTTTTTTACGAAGGTGGCATTTGCTTTCTGTTGCTAAACAGAATTGTTGCTCAATTCTGGTTTTATATGCATTTGTTCTTAACACTTGGTCTTGTGCAGGCAGAATTAGCCCCTCTGTCTCTTTCTTCAACTTTTCTGCTCTTAGCCATTGCCAGGTCTTGTTATCTGCTTTGCCTGCTAGTTTTGTCTGTTTGTTTGTTTGTACTGGCCATGTAACAGAATTGTTGCTCAATTCTGGTTTTATATGCATTTGTTCTTAACACTTGGTCTTGTGCAGGCAGAATTAGCCCCTCTGTCTCTTTCTTCAACTTTTCTGCTCTTAGCCATTGCCAGGTCTTGTTATCTGCTTTGCCTGCTAGTTTTGTCTGTTTGTTTGTTTGTACTGGCCATGTAATACTTTGCCTTGCCATGTTTCTTTTCTATTCTTCATTTGGTCTTTCTTATAGGCCAGTTTGGTTTCTTTGATATTCAGTAAGCCTTCGTGGTGTACTAGCTTCAGTGCATCTTCTTCACTCTCCTTCAGATATTCTTCCAGTGTCCATTTTTCTTCTTCAACTGTCCGGTGTACTTTTAACATTCCATGCCCACCTATACTACTACTACTACTACTACTACTACTACTACTACTATTATTTTATTTCTATCATGCTATTCCAGCAGGTGAACAAAGTGGCTTCCATGGGGATCTCTCTACCCTTTATCCCCACAAGAACAACCCCATGAATTAGGTTGGGCTGAGAGAGATGACTGGCCCAAAGTTACATAGTGAGTTTCCATGGCTGAGAGTAGACTTGAACCTGGCCCTCTTGGGTTCTCATCTAACATCTTAACTACCATGCCATAAAACCTCTATGTTTGTATGTTGGGGGTGTGGAAAGAGTACTATCACTTCTGAGGCCACAAGCTGGGATCAGAAGATAGGTGCTTGTTGCTTATACAAGTAGAGGAAATCAAGCCTGGTGGATTGTTATACAGGGATTGTGAAATAGACTAACCACTGACTAAAAGTATTAAGATCAGGTTTGTTGATAAGTTTATTTATGTTCTTTCCATTGGAAGTTCTGTTGCAGAGGATTCTCAGCTAGAGCTTGCTTGCAAAGCAGCTGGGAGACAGAATGAAGTAAGAGCAGAGCCAACAGAAAAGCAAACCACCCATATGTCCCAGTGCTGCAGAGAAAATTAAAAAGTCCATCTTTGCTTTATCTCAAATACCTCAAAGAGATAGAGAAATACTGGCCCAGCAGCATCTGTGAAGGGGCAATAGGGTCAGTCTAAGGAAAGTAGTGCCACAACACAACCCCCAACCCTTTTCTAAGTAGGTTGTGACATCACAGACACGCCCCAAAGGGGCAGAGTTTGTGCCGCAACAGTGCTTTCATCCTTCTGATAGAAGTGGGGAAACAGTAGGATCCTGTGGATGCTTCTACACTGGACCAGCTCTGAAAATGTGGTACCATCATGGGGACAGTCAGCTCCGGAGCATGTCCAGGAGTGGTGCAAAGTGGGCGTGCATAGCAATCCTCTACTTGCTCTGGTGACCAGGAGGTGACTTTCAGCCCCATCTGTAAGTGCTGGGTATTAAAAGTAGGAGTGCCTTTCTCAGCACTGTACCTGTATGTATTTGTTAGATTTATATCCCATATTTTGTTCAGGAGTTCAAAGTGACATACATAGTGCTCACTTCTCCCATTTTTCCCCACAACAACTGCATTAGAAAAGCATTAGTAACACAGGTGTGAATTAAATGGTGCAGTGTGAGATACCTTCTGTCTCCAGTGCCAGTTCTTAGCACTTAGAAAGATAAGTCGGTATCTCTTTGCCCTCTTCTCCATTTGCAAAAGCAGCTGACTCTTGGTTTCATGGCCACTTCTCACACTTCTAGTATTACACTGTTTCTTCCTTTAACATGTCTTCTTACCTCTATTTTACTCTTCTCTAGTGTTATATAGAGTGGGCTGCTGCTGTCTTTCATGTACTCCTTCTTGCTTCTGAATTGCCAATTGAAGGGCCAGAGAGTATCCACTGAGATTTATATTAGACATTAAATCATTGGCTGTTCCTGAAGAACAGTTCAAACTTCCTGCAGAAATTTTAATTTATTATCTGCAGTTTAAATCATAGGGGTTGCAAAAGATAAGATGTTTTCATTATGAAAGGAACAGGCCATAATCATTAATTATTATTGGCTCTTTGGTGCAATTTAGCTGATATTCAAAATGATAACATTGATTTACTGTTATTAATCTGGTTTTACACAACAGAATTTATAGTGTATCATAAAACCCCTCCTCAGTCACAGTAACCAATTCATTGCATAAATGTGGGTCTAAGATCTGTAGAGAAAAGTAGCTGTAGGATAACCCAGAGTTCTACCATTGCAGAGGATGAGTTCATACAACAGAGCCATGTGACTCTTTTTAAGTGTTTAAGGCACCAGGCTAGAGACCGTGAGTTCTAGTCTCACTTTAGGCACGAAGCCATCTGGGTGACTTTGGGCCAGTCCTCCTCTCTCAGCCCTAGGAAGGAGACAATGGCAAACCACTTCTGAAAATCTTGCCATGAACATTGCTGGGACTCATCCGGGTAGTTGCTAGGAGTCAAGACTGACTCAAATGCAACAACAAAAACTGATTAGCAGCAAACTCATCACATCTGTGTCCCACTCTTCATTTAAGGAGCTAAGTTTCCATGCATGGGCTTATCGTATTTTGTTTTTGCAGCAGACATAAGATAAGGTGGGCTTGAGAGAACATGCTTGCCTAATACTATGAGTGTTGGGGTTGGCAGGAATGTATGCTCAGTTCTCCCTGATCTGGCATTTTAACTACTACAACACATGGCCTTTTAAATTCATTTTTAACATCCTACCATGCCCTTCCTCAATATTATTAAATGTGCATTTCCTTACATCCCACAAAACATGTACTCATATGTTCATTACCGCATATTTCATTCTCCAGTTACTGAAATACTGGGATTTACTACATTTCAGAAAAGTTGTATGTAAGTAGAATATATTTTGCCAGCCAAATAATTACATAAATCAAGTACAGATCCTCATTAGCTGTATTATACTGAAAAGCTGGCAGTAATTACAATGGTTAGTTCTTTGTAAATTAGTATTGTACTTATTAAACATACTGTATGTAGATAAAAAGTATGCTCTTGATGTTCTATCTGGTTCAGATGAATTCTTGGAACTAAAAAAAAAAAAGAATTCAAGTGTGATTTCATAACCAATATGGGCACTGCATAGCGCAGAGAAAATGTCTAATTAGTGGCCAATAGGTGAAATTTGGCAAGAAAGTTTAAGAGAATAAAATAGGTTGTAGAGAACAAAGCAAAGCCTTTAAGACCCAGAAGGTTCCAGTTAAATTAATTGGAAGAAGCTTAGCTGGATTGTCCAAAATAGAGATACATTTCTTTAGACAATAAACTTCCTGAACCATAAATTAGTAGATATATATGATTAAGGATAAATTGAGTGATTGGGCATTCTCCCCCTTTCAGGCTTCTATTACCTGCTGTGAGTTTTCTATTTAAGACCGTGGTCCTATAATTCCATTATTTGTTTCAGCTTTATGCTAAACTGGTAAGAGACATGGAGTTAAAACATTTACAATACTGCCAGCTGGACAAGCTGGCACTAATCTGTAGATCTGGCACATCACTGCTATGTCCAGCTCTTTAGGGAGAAAACAGTAGAAGGGCAGCAGATGACATTTACCAAAGACCTGTGGAAAGAGGATGTGTCTGTGTCAGGCCAAAATGACAATAAGTGCCACTTTGATGCCATCCATTTATTAGCTATCTAACTTCACCCCCAATATAATAAATGGGGAACTGTAGTTATGGTTGTTGTTGGCTGTTGCTGGCTTAAGCAGGAAAACACATCAGTAGAACTAAGGTCAGCCTAAGACTGCTTCTCTTTCATGGGCTCAGGAGGAAATGAAAGCAATATCATAAGAACATTGCAGAGAAAAGATGAAGCCAGGGCATATTGTACCAAATGCCAGTAGCTAAATACCTTGTGTGAGCAGCAGAAACATAATCAATATTCTTTTGTAGGCTTGGGTGTAGATGTTTTTGCCAACAAATGCAAGTGGCAAAAATTGATTAGAACCTCAAAAAGCACTAGTACCTGGTAGTAACATCCAACTTTTATCAGTCTAGATTGTCACATTGTGCTTGGCAAACTGAAAAACTATAGGAAAATCCATGTTAGGCTCTTTTGCTGTCATTTTTTCAGCTTAAAAATGGTAGTAGGCTCAGGAAAGTAGCGCTGGAAGTGTGGCGTTTTAGTTTCTCACTTACACCTTACCTGTGATTCAAACTGTCCCCGAAGAAGCTGCTACCAGCCTAGGGGTGGGAAACTTTTTCTCAACAGAAGTTTTTAATTTTTTTCAGGGAATAAGTCAGTGATGCAAGTGGGCAAATCCATATCATAAATAGTGGGACTGGGATTTATTTTTTTTTACTTTTTTTTTTTTTTTAAGATGTGTGCCTTTTAACTGTAGGAAGTCTATTTTAGGACTTACACTACCTCTTTGTGTTTGCCATCTGAAAATGGTGGGAAGATTGACAATGGGGTTGCAAAATGATGAGGGTGTCTGGTGAAGACTTGGGACTGCAGGATGCCAACCCCTATATAAGTTCTAACTAGGAAAAAAAGGGGATGGGGGAGAGACCAGACAGCTACCTGTGTTATACTGCCCAGATTCATAGCAGTTTGCAAAAGATTCAGATTAGCTTGGAGCAGTGGTATCCATTGTTCAGGAAAATGATTAAGGAGAAACAAT